TTCCATTTGTGTAAGGGTATTAGTACAGCTTTGCTTTTTTAGTTGTTTCTAATCAGGTTATTAGAGATGTATTTCAAATATGGTTTAGTAAATGTTGTACCTATGATTTTGATGATTACAAAACACATTTGAGTGACTAATTGATTTATTTAAGTGTGTGGTTAAATTGCCAATATACTGTAAAGTAAGCAAAATGAGATTGCATTAAAAAGGGCTCAAAGGGTAAAAATATGCAGAGAGCCGGCTTAAGAAAATTGTAGCCGACTCTGGGAAGCAAAAATGCAGAGAGCCGGCTGCAAATTTTGTTGAGTCGGCTCTACAGGCTAGAAATTCAATTGCTGTTTTGGTGCGTGCGGAAAATGGAAGCAGAGCCGGCTATGAAGGTGCATTTAATGCACAACGGATGAGTTATTTGAAGATTATGTAATGTGTTTAAAGTTGGAATCCCAAAGTCGGCTCTAGGCTTTGCAGTCAGCTGTGAAAGAAAATAGAATGTGCAGGAAACCCGCAAAGCCGGTTGCAGAAACTGTGAGTCGGCTCTATAGAGCCGGCTCTATGAAGTTAAGCCGGTTCTCCTGACAATCCTGCAACTCGAGCTTTGCATCCTGCAGAGCATTTAATGACCTCCAATGGCTAGTAACGGCTATTTTCGAGCAAGGGGCTATAAATATGGTTGGTAACAGATCTGAAGAAATTTGGAGAGCATTATATTGAATATCGTTACCTACCAACTTGTGCTTTAACTAGAGATTTTGATCTTCGAGAGATCTTTGTTTGTAATCCTCTTTTTGTGCTATTAGTGAGTGATCTTGGGGGTGTGTTGATTCCTTCAAGAGTGATATGTAGAGAGGATCTTTGGGGTTCAAGTGTAAAGGGGTGAGATTTGAGAGAAACACCCTTCTTTATGTAAAGAATTGAGTGGCTCCTTTAAGCCACTATTGTTTTTGTTAGTGGAGAGTGTGGAGGAAATCCTTGGTGAGTGAAGCCAAGGTAGAGGACTAGGCTCCAAGTGGTTGGACCGAACCTCTATAAAATCATTGTGCAAGCTCTTCTTTTCCACTCTCTTTAATTTTTGTTTGGTGGTTGCAAAGAGGTGAAAATTCTCCAACTCCAATTCACCTCCCCTCTTGGAGTGCATTAAGTCAACAGTAAAATCATTCTTTTGCTGATTTTTTTAGAAAATATTCCATTTCCACTACTAACCAAACCATGAAAAATATTTTTCATAAAAAAATTCTCA